GGGGGGGGGCGTTTGAGGGAAGGTCCCTTGAAGACGTATCTAATGGATAGTGTATAGTGTTGGTGGCCAACAACGATGACGACGAAGGCTCTCTGGTGTTGGTTGCTTTCTGCCTCAACACTTGGGCTTCCCGACGGCGACGTGTCCGCGAGCAGGGTACTTTCATTTTTGCGGGGCCTGGATGAGTCGTGTGTTACGCGATACCTGTACATACCGTAGGCCACGTAAGATGTCACACCACTTGTACCGATTTTCGAAGGTCGATATCTCGGCAGGCAAAACAGTCATGGTGGCGAAAATGACGGCATTGGACCCTTATCGTCGAGAGCTTTCCGAAAACGTGTACTTCAATTTCGGCATCCTCTTAGTCATGGAGCAATCGAGCTTTGAAAATCTGCCCGGGTTAGGTGTGTCATTTTTTCAGAAGCAACCGATTTTTTGCGTTGCTCTTGATCTTTCCGTCATCTTGATCTGTCTGTCTCTGGCGCGCGACACTACAGATGCAACGTTAGCGGTTCTATCCGTTTTAAGAAGCTCATCCTCAAAGGTGACTACCAGACAGCTATGGACGTTGCCAAGCAACAGGTGAGCCCCCCTCCCCGTGCGCCCTGTTGTGCTTCTTGGTTTGAAGGTGCTGTGTCTTTGTCTCTGAAGTAGGCCGGCCTGCTGTTGATGTTGTCGCTGTTGTTGATGCTGCTGTCGCCGTCGTTGATGTTGATGTCGTAGTTGTCATTTAAAAATGGAGTCGTTGCTGTTGCTTTCATATGGAAACCCGTGGTAGCCTCTACCCAGGCACACAAGGAATGGCAGATCACGTCGTACACCTAGTGCTGTCGTTGACGTTGAAGTCGAAGACGAGTCGTATGTCCGAGCGTCGTGTGTCATTCCGGTTTCTACCGTGAGCTGTGTGCTGCTGCCGCTGGTGCTACCGCTGCAAAATCGCGCACGAGCACTTTGCGCTCAAGCTTCGGTGCGAGTTCTGACGTCATCCTCTCTTGTTATTGCGTCGCGTTGCTTCACCTTTTGGTGTTGTTGCTGCTATTGCTGCTAGGTGGAAGACGGTGCGATGGTGATCGACATCAACCTGGACGACGGCCTACTGGACGGCATGGCCGCCATGCAGAAGTTCTGCAAGATCGCGGTCACCGAGCCAGACGTTAGCAAGGTGAACCAGAAGACGACACAGGGAAAAGGAATAGGAGTGGGGGGGCGGGTCCCTGGTCGTTGCGTCGGCGACCTGCGGGCGCTGGTACCAACCACAAACGATGCGTTGCCCTCTCGACCATTCTGCGTTTCGCAAGCACCTGTTCGCGACCATTTTTTCTCGCAAGCTGTCTTCTGTCATCGTTGGCTATCATAGTATTTGCCCATCAGTTTGTGATGAGCTGTAACGGCATCGCAAGTACTTCCTCGCAAGGACGCCCTGGTTTTCCATGGTACGTTGGCGGTTTTCCTCAGCAACCGTCTCGGTGGCGATCCCACCGCTTGCTTATGTACCCTTGGACGATGCGTATGTGGGCGTGCCCGTGCCTCCTTCTCCGAAGCATCGCCGTAAGTGATCGACATAGCCTCAAAGTCAAGTCCAAACGTAACCCGCGTGCTCAAAACCCAGCCCGTGACACTATTATGACCTCCGCAAACACAGCATATGGCCTTCTTCTCGAAACAAGTGACTTTTGCTCGGCTGTTGTTCGATCAATGCATAGGTCCCGTTCATGATCGATTCGTCCAAGTTTCCCATTGTGGAGGCCGGTCTGAAGTGGGTGCAGGGCAAGAGCATCGTCAACTCCATCTCTCTCAAGGTGCGTGGTGGTTGCTGCGCCTATTGCAGCTAGCTCCTCGGACTAACTCCGACTGACGTTTTATGAAAAACGCAACACATTTTGTTCATTTGGGTGAGAACCATGTTTGAAGTCTAGATTCAGCATTTTTGTTCGTCGCACTGGTGCATCATACAAAACAGCTGTCCCCATCTGGATTTTCAGTGTCCACGTTCAAACCCCCAACCCCCCTTCCCTCACACTTCTCCCCTACCTCCTACAACCCTAATCTCCTTCCCTGTCTCACCGACTCCCTCTCAACCATAGCTCCTGCCCTCAAACAGCAGGAGGAATAATTCTTCAAATCTCTTTCGGATTGCGACCGAACCGCTCCGAACCGCTCTCAACGCCATGAATTGAGGATTCATGTTAAGAGCGGTTCGGTCGCAATTCGAGAGAGATTGGAATTGTTATTTCTGCTTCTGGTTGGGGGTAGGAGCCATGGTTGAGGGGGAGTCGGTGAGAAAGGCTTCATGGCGTTGAGAGCGGTTCGGTCGCAATCCGAAAGAGAGTCGAAAAAATCCAAGGGTGTGTTGGGCAAGGTACATACCCGGGTACAATTTGGGTATTTGTGGGGTATGTACCCTTACCCAACGTTTGGGTACGTTGGGTATGACTCTCGTACCCGTACCCAAATTCTTGGTACGTTGGGTACGACCTCTCGTACCCATACCCAACGTACCCAAAATATGGGTACTACACCCGTACCCATACCCAAAATACCCATACCCACGCATCATCTACCCGGGTACATTGGGTACGACTCTCGTACCCTTACCCAAAATTTGGGCACGTTGGGGATGACTCTCGTACCCGTACCCAATTTCTGGGTACGTTGGGTACGACCTCTCGTACCCGTACCCAACGTACCCAAAATATGGGTACCACACCCGTATCCATACCCAAAATACCCATACCCACGCATCATCTACCCGGGTTACCCGGGTACATTGGTTACGACTCTCGTACCCGTTCCCAAAATTTGGGTACGTTGGGTACGACTTCTGTACCCAACGTACCCGTACCCTACCCACCCTTGAAAATTTATTTCTGCTGGTGGGTGAGGGTAGGAGCTATGGTTGACAGGGAGTCGGTGAGAGAGGGAAGTAGGTTAGGGTTGTCGGAGGCAAGAGAGGAGTGAGAGGAAGGGAGGGTTGGGGAGTTGAACTTAGACATTGAAAAAAACAGATGGGGGCAGCTGTTGTATGATGAAACGATGTCGAGCAGCTACAACCGAGTTGCGGTGTTTCTGCCGACCTCCCACATCACAAAGCACTGTAAAGACTTCAACCCACCCCCTTGGACTGTCGTTATACGTTATCTCGAATGGGTAGTCTCTCTGTGTTTGTATGATACTAAAATATACAAAGTACTTTCTAGGAACAAGGTTTTACTCGTCGCCCCGTCCGAGCAGCTGCAACGGAGTTGGGGTGATTCTTGTCCACCTCCCACATTCAACAAGGAGTTTTATCTTCCCGCCCCCTCAAGACTGTCCTTCCTTCTTTTCAGCAGCTACTGAACAGGTCGGTGGGGCGGATTTCAAGTGATTTATCTTGCTTTTTTTATGATGCTCATGTTTTGCTGACGATGACGTCACTAAACAGGTCGATGGGGCGGAGCTCAAGCTCTTACTATCGTTTTTTTTGTGGTGTTCTGGTGTGCTGACGATGACGTCACCGATAAAGTAGGTGAGGCAGAGTTCAAGCACTACCTTCTGCTTTTTTTTTTTTTGATACTGCTGTTCATCTTTTGCTGACGATGACGTTAATGGAAAGGTCGGCGAGGAGGAGTTCAAGCGCCACGCGAGGATCGTCAAGGCGCACGGGTCGGCGGTGGTGGTGATGGCCTTCGACGAGGAAGGCCAGGCCGCCGACTGCGACAACAAAGTCCGCATCTGCAAGCGCTCCTACGACATACTCGTCGACGAGGTAGGTTCGGGTGTGTGATGCCGAGAGATGGACAGAGGGGAGGTGGCGAGATTTTGACGCGGGGGAGAAACACATGCGGTATGAGAGGAAGGGTGGAGAGAGGGGGGGGGGGGGGGGGGGGNCGTGGTGAGCTACGTGTGTACTGTCTCCCCTTGCCGGCGAAATCGATTTTTGTTGAGACAAGGCTGAAAACTTTGGCCGTGGCGTGATTGACCACCTCTCTTGTCTAGATGTCGCGTTGGTTGCCCGCGAACTCAAAATCGCTGGAGATACATCCCTGGCTCGGCTGGAAACCTTTGGTTATCGATCCTCGCGTGTCGCTTGAACTCCGACGCTGTTGTCCCAAAGTTTTACAACTCCGTGCGCCTTGACCCGTAGTTGTCGCATTAATAGTTACAAGTAGTTGCCGCCTTGATCGGTTGTCGTAGTACAACTCCATGCGTCTGACGTCCAAGTAGTAGCCGTAGTTGTCGTTGTCCCAAATCAAACACCACATGAAATGACGCAAGTCACAGATTCGATAGCAGTCGAAGAAACGCCAGCGCCGCCGGTGTACTCAAGAACTTCACTTCACAAGGATCGCTGTCACCTTAACTGCGATCGTATTGCGCTAAATCTCGCGTTGTTGCCGACTGACGCCGCATCCAAGGTCGGCTTCCCCCCCGAGGACATCATCTTTGACCCCAACATTCTCACTATCGCCACGGGCATTGACGAGCACAACAACTACGCTGTCGACTTCATCCAAGCAACGGAGAGGATCAAAGAGGTATGTTTGATTGCAGTCGACCCGAAGTCGCCGTTGTTTTTTCTGCTGTACGATAGCCTTGTGTAGGGAAAAAACATCTTGTACAACTTCGACGCAATACGCAGCAGCCCGGTAGTTGGCCTTCCCTCCTGCACTCGTCGTGGGCAGTGGGTCTCGCTCGCCGACGTGTAGAGGAGTGCGTGATGATCCTGGCAATGTTGTTAATGTTTTAGGCCTGTCTTGTGGTCGCATTGCATGTATCGTGGATGGTACTTTACTGCCCGCGTTTGATGATCGAGTCAGACCTGTCATGTGGTCACGCTGCAGTCATCGTGGACAGTACGGCAGGAGGGGAGGGTAGAGAGGGGCTCTTCTGTGTGACCACGGGTTGGAGTAAACGGCACCCAGTGCTGTGAGCGCTGTTTGAAGTCAAGACAAAAAAAAAAAAGTACGGCCCACGTTGATGATCAAGTCAGACCTGTCCTAGTGGTCGCACTGCATGTATCGTGGATGGTACTTTCACTGCCCACGTTCGATAGTCAAGTCAACACNCAGTGCTGTGAGCGCTGTTTGAAGTCAAGACAAAAAAAAAAAAGTACGGCCCACGTTGATGATCAAGTCAGACCTGTCCTAGTGGTCGCACTGCATGTATCGTGGATGGTACTTTCACTGCCCACGTTCGATAGTCAAGTCAACACACAATTTGTTGTAGATCGATCTCACGCCGGTTTGCGCACCGTTGCTTGCCGTCCAGATTTGCCCGTACTGCAAGATTTCCGGCGGGGTGTCCAACCTGTCGTTCGGATTCAGAGGGGTTAACGTCATCCGTGAGGTAAGAATAGAAGCTCCGCAACCGATGTACGGCAGTAGGTTGAAGCCTTGAAGTGTCGGGGACATTTCGCGCGAAGTGGTCGGATGGGTGTACGATATCCTTGGGTGTATACATTCAAGCGTGCTTTTGCTCGTGAATTGCTCCGATTCTCATCTGAAGCGATCCAAGCCACAACTATCCAGTGGCAGTGCATAATATCTGTCTCGGGTATCAAGAAATTTGAGATGACGGGAAGAGACTTGTGCCCGCCCCCCGCCAAATCGCCCTCCCCCCCGAGAGTATCGGGATCGCCGTATCGATCCTCCCGTTCCCGTTACCCGGTTTCCCCGTCCCCTTATCGTTGAACGTTTTCGTCACTGGCAATGCGTTTGACACTCTGTGGTCCTTGCTTCCGCGACGACGTCCGGCATGGACCCACGCACACGCATAATGCTCTCTTCCGACATCCCTGCCGCTGTCGTGTGATTGTCGAACACCGTTCCGGCGCGAATGATTAATTTCATATCACTGGCAGTCCTTGCGCTCTTGATCCTGCTCCACGCCACGAAGGCCCGCATGGCCCGTTTGCGCACCCAGATGACAACAACACTCCCTCATCATCAGTAGCCTTTGCGAGGATGTTTAACTTGGTTTTAGCATAGGTTAGGGTAAGGGTTACGAACCCCCCCTCCCTATGTAATAGACTGAAAAAACATCCTCGCGAACGTGGTCCGTTACCAATCCCCCCCCCCCTGCCCCCGACATCATTGGTCGCAGGCCATGCACTCGGTGTTCCTCTTCCACGCGGTCAAGGCCGGCATGGACATGGGTATCGTGAACGCCGGGATGCTGGAGGTGTACGACAACATCGAGCCCGGCCTGCTAAAGGTCGTCGAGGACGCCGTGAACAATAAGCACCCCGGCGCGACGGAGGCATTGCTCGATGCCGCGGAGGTGAGATGAGGCCGCGAATCGAAGCTCGCTCGGCTGCTTTCTGCGGGTCCCCCGCTTCTGTGAATACTGTGGGCAATGCCTACATCAGTGAACAGTTGGTATTTTCTTTTTTTTTCTTGTCCCCGCAACTGGTCGGGTAAAAGGTGCGTGTCGCCTCTTCCACGTCCAGAGTCACGTGATGTGATGATGCCAACAACCAAGCAGTACTGTAGTGGCAATATGAGAACCAGGGCGCCACAAGCGAGCCCATCGTACGATATGTACAATGCTGGCTTGTTTGGGGCATGGCTCTCTTCTTGAGTGTACATCACTGCTCCCGTTGACGTACGTTGAGCTGGTGTGGCTTCATGTTCGAACCACGAACCGCAGTGTGTGTACAAGCAAGGTGCGGGTACGCCAGGAAGGGCAGTTTTGACGCTGCGTTGTAGTCGCGATGGCTTGGGTTGAGTTGCTTGGACGTCGGACGCAAAGGAAGCTTTCTTTTCAAGGTGTTGCTGCTTCTTGGCGAGTTTGTGTTCGCGGTGTGGTCTCTTGGATTGTGGTGAGCAGAAATGACCTGTTGTGCTTCGATTTTGTCAGGGCAACGAACGACTTATCAGTAGCACGTGCTTCCCTTTCGAGTCTCCCCTTTGAGCTCGATTCGACGAGATCCGTCGTTTGGTGGTTGGGACTCGTCCGGTGTATAGCAGAAATGAAAGCATAGTTCGGCGGTCGGACTTGTGCGAAGGTTAAGGTTGAATCCGGTGCGGAGGAAGCGACAGGAAAGCCAACAGGACGAAAGAAGGACTAAGAAGAACGACCATATGGCGCTTCCCTGAAGACATTGCCACCGCTCTGGCCGTCTGCTTTCGCTCTCTCTCTCGCTCTCTCCCCTCTCGATCTCTCTCTCTCTCTCCCCCCCCCCTCTCCCTTCGCAATCTAGACTTCAGTGGGTTGGCGCTGTTGGCAAAGCGCTGTAAAACACGCCACCCCAAATATAGCCCCCATAGTATGCGCTACCAAAGACGCGTGACGCATGGA